GTGTGTGTGTGTGTGTGTGTGAGTGTGTGTGTGTGTGTGGGTGTGTGTGTGTGTGTGTGTGTGTGTGTGTGTAACTTTTGGAAGTTTTACTCCAGGTAACAATAACATTATACAGTAACAGATAAAGTAGATTGGAGGTGGGAATTAAGCTTTTTATTTAACAAATCCCCATACATTCTTTGTTAGTTATTAGCTAAGTAGCATAAATACACACAAAAAATAACATTCTTATTTATAAAAAAAAGTACCCTTTTTTCCCCATTTCCGTTGTCATAATTTTGGGTGAATGTAATGAAAAGCTTTGTTGTGGGTGTATTTTATGATGATGTTGTTGTTGCTATGTAATGAATGAATTTCAATGTGGCTTAAATTCTCTACTATACAAGGAATGACAAACTACAAATACTTAATGTTTCTGATTAATTAATTAATCTTTTTCTGGGTGTGCCTATTAAAGAGTTAAAACATAGATTTATGGTCAATATGCCATTATATAGAAACAGCCAGGCTGGTGTTCTGGATGTACTCATTGTAAAAACACGCATATCTTTCTTGTTTCTATCAGCGTAGTGACAACAGCAGTCACACCCTGCTTATCAGACTACATAGATCAGGCGTGGCGAACGTCGGTCCTGGAGAGCCGCAGCCCTGCAGAGTTTTGCTTCAACCCTAATCAAACACACCTGAACAAGCTAATCAAGGCCTGAAGGGTTACTAGGAAGCTACAGGCAGGTGAGTTTAAATTAGGGTTGGAGCTGAGCTCTGCAGGACTGCGGCTCTCCAGGACCGGAGTTCGCCACCCCTGACATGGATGAAAACAGGAATTCACCAATCCCTCATTTGTGCTTATTTTCTTGCGTTCAAACAGTCGCTCAGTTTTCAGAGTTTCTCTTGAGGCGTTTTGAAGTGTGGAGGCCTCTTCCATTCTTTTCAGTCAATGTTACAGTGCTTGAAATGAAAGATTAACTTGAAATATCTTACAGTCAGACTTCTTTCTTTGTCTTTCATTCCTACAACAGAACCTGACGATCCTGTGTCACCTTGATCAGCTTCTCTTTGTGACTCACATCAACCTCTCCTCCAATCAGCTGCTGCGGCTGCCGCCTCAGTTTGCCATGCTGCAATGCCTTGAGGTGAACTGATGCTTCTTACCTTCAGCATTTCCTACAACTAACTGTTACTCAGTCTTTCTTTTGAGTGATCACACTGGTAGCAGTGATGTAAATGGTGAAGGATGCTTCATACCAAGTTCCTGTGGCTCAGTGGTAGAGCATTACGTTAGCAGCGCAAAAGACCGTGGGTTCGATTCCCAGGGAACACACATACTGGTAAAAAATGTATAGCCTGAATGCACTGTAAGTCGCTTTGGATAAAAGCGTCTGCTAAATGCATAAATTAAATTAAATTTAAATTTTATTAAATTAAATTAAAAATTCATATGTTGTGGTTTAACGCCTCTGTCAACACACACAGGTGCTGGAGGCCGATGATAATGCCATTGAAAGTCTGGAGGGACTGTATCATCTGCCTAAACTAGAGGAAGTTTCTCTGAGGAACAATCGTATCCTTTTCTCAAAAAAATCCAAATGTTTTATAAGAAACCCCTTTTCTGGTGTCAGAGCCAGTGCCTGATTTGGCCTTGTTTCAAGGATTCAGTATTCTTCATTAATAAACAGATACAGACATATAGCAGGGCCAAATTCTGTTACTCCCCTCTGTTTTAGAAAGCATTTGGGTTTTTATTTAAACCGCTACAGATTACATTACGAGGGTCACCAAATCCGACAAGGCAGCATAAGAAGTAAATCTTTTTCACACAGGAGGGCTTTAATGTTCTCTGAATTCACTCTGGTGTTGTCTAATCTCCTGTCATAGTCTAGAAAGCATTTTTTTAAGCTGCAAGACATTATTTTTTTGTCAAGGGTCTTTTCCAGACACTTTATTTCCCCAAACAGTTTATATATATATAAAAAAAAAAAAAACGGATTTGCAAATATTTTTTGAAATGATTATGAATTTTGTTAGTTATATTACTATATTATTATATTGCTAATAATATATAGTTGTTTTTGAAAACAATACCTTTTTAGCAAAGATGCATTAAAATAAGCAAAAGTGACTTCAAAAGATTTCGATTTCAAATAAGTGCTGCCCTTTTGAAACGTATATTCATCAAAACAATCCTAAAAAAAAAAATCACTGTTTCCACAAAAATAATGTATATTATTATATTGTAAGTAAAGTAATAATAATATATAGTTGTTTTTGAAAGAGATACTTTTTGAAAGAGAACTTTCTGAACCTCCTTTTGAAGAATCCTAAAAAACAAAATCATGGCTTCCACAAAAATATTCAGCATTTTCAACATTGATAATAATCAGAAATGTTTCTCGAGCAGCAAATCAGCATATCAGAATGATTTCTGAAGATCATGTGACACTGAAGACTGGAGTAATGATGCTGAAAATACAGCTTTGATCACAGAAATAAATTACATTTTAAAATATAGAAAACTTTTAAACTGTAATATTTCACAATATTACTGTTTTTACTGTATGTTTGATTAGAGAATAGACTTCTTTTTTTTTAATTGTAGTGAATATAAAATAAATATAAATTGTAATTAATACACATTTATTTATCTATATTTCTTTTACCTGTTGAGAATGTTTAATGCACTGTATCGCAGTATATCTTATCTGATTGTTTGTGTTACTGGAACCATAAAAAAGGGTTTTCTTAATGCATCTTTTAGAAATCTGTAAGCTGTCTGATCTTGAATCATTGGCGTCCTGCACCAAACTGACCAGACTGGACCTGCGTGGAAACCCTGTCCACAGAACTGCCAACATAGAGTCTGAGCTGAGCCAGCTCCTGCCACTGGTTGCTGCTCTGTCCCTCTGATGTGAGTGTGAGAGTGTGTGAGAGTGTGTGAGAGTGTGTGAGTGTGTGAGTGAGTGTGAGTGAGTGAGTGTGTGAGTGAGTTAATACCTGTAATGAGTGTGTGTGTGACTTAATACCTGTAATGCTAGTGTGAGAGTGTGTGTGTGACTTAATACCTGTAATGCTAGTGTGAGAGTGTGTGTGTGACTTAATACCTGTAATGCTATTGAGAGAATTAGAGCTCACTAACCATTTCTAAACTGTACCTCGTGTGCTAGACCTAAAGGGATATGCTAGTTCAGCCAAAAATGAAAATTCAGTCATTTATCTGTATTTTGGTAGGCTGTATATTTGTCAAATGTTCATACTGCTCTTTGTTTCCATGCAATGACAGTTCTGATGTAATACAAATAAAATCAGAGGGGAATATTTTCAGTGCTGATATTTGACTTTAGAGGCATTTAACTGGAAATAAATAACATCATACAGGTTTGGAAAGACTTGAGAAAGAACAAATTTCATTTATGGCTGAACTGTTCCTTTAATAATGTTCAGCATCCTGTCTGTATGTTTATCTGTGTTTTTGTGTGATAAATGACAGGTCACATTTCAAATAAAGTTTGACCTCTATACAAACGCCACACTGCATGCTTCGCCACATATGCGTTCACTTTTAACTCTTAAAGTCCTGTTTTGGGCAGAAATATTGTTCTTGCAATGTATCAGTGAAGATTTAACTATTTGGCTATGGGATTCTTGTACTGTATGAATTAGACACTTTTTTATTGGCACTCCATGCCAATAAAGAAACATGTCTCTTCCTGATGTCTGTGTCTGCCTGGGTTTCTTTGAGGACCTCCTGCTGTAATGTTAGTCTGTAGGATCTTATAAGAGTTCATTAAGGTTTTGCAGAAAGAGTGATTTATTTGATAAACTGGTTTAGGCTATTGAGAATTTGTTTCAGAGAATGGGGTTTAGTGTCTTAGCAAATGTGAAAAACGATTTATTTATTTATTTATTCTAGTGCCTTTTTTTCATAAAGTTGCATTGCATGGAAATGTCCGAGCTTCAACAAGGACACAATAGCACCTAGACAAATATCATTCTAGACTCCTGCATTTAAAGGTTTTTGAAGCTATATGTGATAACATTTCTGTGAGAATCAGACAGAAATTAAAACACCGAGTCTCATAGACGCAATAAAAAATTGAGATATTCAAAATAACAACTAATTTTTCAAGGGATTTTCCCCCAGAGGAATATAGTTTGAGAAGCACTGTAATGATTGCATGTAATGCATTAGTGATTAGTGAGATAAAACTACTGTATGTTTGCTTATAGGTATTGCTCTCATAATTTCCTTATAATATGGTGATATCACCATCTGCTGGTCAACATAAGCATTATGTTACAAGCAGTATATTACTATGTTGCCGTTTACTCCAATTAAATGTCCTTGTTTGCCATTGTTTTGTGTGACCCTTTAACAGCAGCTTGCAGATATGTTTTGTTTTGTGTATATATTGTTATGTATGGTGTAAGGTCATTACAACACCTGCCATATAGGATTTAGTTGTAACATTTAATGTAAAATAACTGTCATTTACAATATTATATATTAAAATCAATATATATATTTATTAGTTTATTAATGAAATTAATTATAAATGTAAATATACATTTTAAAAAAGTGTTACTGTCAGTCAGGGTCCCGCCACTTTGGTTGGTCTTGTCCTGTCCATGTGGTGTGTTGTGTGTTCGGGGCATGGGGTCTGGATCCTGAGATCGGTTTCGGTTCAGTGTCAGGATCCGATGGTCATTCTCCATGTTTGGTCTTTTGATCTTGTTCATTGGCTGCAGTGTCAGTTCTTACCTATATGCAAAGATATAATATATATATATATTAGGAAAAGTATATTCAGGTGCACAACCCAACTTTGCATCAGGCCAGGCGCAAGTCAAACGAGCGAGGAAAAGACTCACTGACTAGATCAACAGGGAACGCAAACAGTGAATATAACATGATGCAGAGGCAATTAAAGCAGCGTTAGAACGGAACATGTTGAAGCTCATTCCTATGTATTGCGCTCTGCCGATGGACTCGTTGAAGGCTGCAGTAGTGGATAAATTGGTTGGAGTCGGTCTATAATCTAAGATAAACTAGTTAAAATAATGCATATTCACAGAAGCAAATTTAGTGTGTTTGTTATTCAGAACGAATTTAAGCAGCATAGTAAATGTCAAGAGATTGCGCCTGTGCTTACATTTTACTCTGTTACAGTCCTACACTGTATTTTAGATTTACACATGTGTAGTATTATTTAAATTAATGAATCATGTTGCATAAAGAAAAGGTGGTTTACTTTGTATCAGAGCATTAAAGTGGGATTAATACAAATGTTTGAAATTTACATTTAATAATTCCTACATGAAATTTAATAATTTCTGCATGTCACGGACGTACTTTGTAAGTACATCCCCCAATTGTAAGTCGCTTTGGATAAAAGCGTCTGCTAAATGACTAAATGTAAATGTAAATGTAAATGTAAATGTACTTTGTTATCTGTCCTTGTTTAACAGGACAGAGAACTACACTGTTAGACTTTGCTGTAATTTTACAGTTACTTACAGCAAAAAAAGGCCAGTAAAACACCATAAATATTTTTTTTTTTACAGTTAACTACTGTAATATGCACTGCATTATGGGCATTTTTATGTAATTTACAGCAAGTTACTGTATATGGGAATTTGCGGTACTTTACTGTTTACTCAAAAGCAGTAGTGCTACTGTAAATTGTTCTGCTGATGAAAAACATGAATCTGCATTCAATGCCTGGGTAAGCACAAGTGTGGTGAAATAAATGTAATTTTTAAATGATTAAAAAATAAAATATATAAAAATAGCTTACACCCCACAAAATTACAATTTTATTCACGTGCAATGCCCGCGCAGCAACCTGCCTGGCAGTGGTTATATAAACTGAGGTTTGTTTCTGGTGCGGACTTCCCTTCTGAGTGGATCACCAGACGTCAGCTGCGAGTTTTCCTGTGGTAGATACTTTTTACTTAACAACTTACTTTTAAAACGTAAACCATTACCAATATCAATGAAATTTAAAAATATAAAGAAAGTAAATAATAAAATCTAATTATAGGCTATTACTAGGGCAGTGGGAAATGTTTGTTTTCATCAAAAACTGCCGCTTTCATGAAACTCATTAAATTGTCAAACAACTGACTGACTACCCAATCTAGATGTACCCAATCTAGTATTTACACTAACAATTATTTTTCGGCTTTTTTTACTGCCAGTTATGGTTTAACTTGGGATTCACTCCATGCCAGAGTAATTTCTCCGCAAGCTGTAGCTCCACAGTCAGGGGGCGCTAACACTGCACCTGCATCCCTGCTCATGATTTGCTGTTTTCCTATTGACTAAAATGTGGTTTAATGTCTTGTATGGTTATTTTTAGTTATAGAATCTTATTTTTCTAGAAAATTTACAAACGGTCTCTTATAATTATCTTAGAATTATTATCACTACTGTGCAGTTACTTTCAAACAACTAATATCAAGATTATAGGTAATGCCTCTTTTCTCTCTCTCTCTCTCTCTCTCTCTCTCTCTATATATATATATATATATATAAACTTTGCTACATGTAATGCGTTAGACTAACTGTTTTGCTTTTATGACCCACATTTGTAAGTCGCTTTGGATAAAAGTGTCTGCTAAATGATTAAATGTAAATGTAAGAAACAAATGTCTCTCCCAATAACCAATAATGTATCTGTTATTTGGTCTTGTTCCTGGTCTTCTTTCTGCCCTGAAAGTAAACTGTGAAACTTAATATTTCCAACAGCTTTTGTGCTAAAAGTCAAAGGTGTTAGTTGGTTCACTGTTGTCTGTTATCCACTGTCTGTTATCTTCAGCTGTCATCATACCTACAAATCACCTGGAAATTGTAATTGCTTAATTGAGAAATATGTGCCTGATTAAACATACAGCTTTCAGTTCAAATGTTAGACCTTTCTAGGCTTTTTACAGTAACATACTGGCAACACTGTTGCTTACAGTAAGATACTGAAATGGCTGTTTTCAGTTAATTACTGATTACTGTAATTTTTGGCTAGAATATTACTGTAAAAAAGTTTAAAATGGATCCAAAATAATTACAATAATTACAGTAACATTAATTACAGTAACTTACATTTAATTAATTGATTACAATAACTAACTAATAGGTGTGCGCAGGGGCAGTTGTAGGATTTTATCCACAGGGGGCTGAGCCCTCAGACAGACCATTAGATACAAAAATACAGATTACCTCAATAAACTTTATAGTGCTTGTGAAAACTATGTATCATTGTATTAAGTAAATATACACAAATACCCATTAAAGCTACAGAAGTTACTTAGTTAAGAGTAGCGTGATTCTCTATTTTTATTTTTTTTGGATTAACATTATTAACATAAGAAATGCACGTGTCCATTATATTAATGCACATCCGATATATTTTTTCTTAACTGTTTACTTTAGTCGTAAACTGAAGTAACTAAGTCGTAACTGACAGTTTTTACGTCGATTTGCGTCAAGACAGCCATTCTGACATAATTTTGTGCCTGTTTGCTCAAGACGCAGAAGAGAACTAAAAGAATTTGGGATTCACCTGCTGTCTGAGAGACGGATTGTTTGTGTGCGCGCTTCAAGTGTGTGCACGCACAGACACGATCTATGACAGCGTGCAAACACCGCATTGAGATCTCTTTTGCACCATCTTGTGACTGAATGGCTTAAAATCACTGACAATGTTTAAACTGACAAGCCTTAAACCACATGAGAATGATACACTTTCTTGAGGAAGCGGGACTGTCTCGATCGT